GGAGCATGGGAGGGGTACGCGTTGCATGGTCATATAATCCGGTATCCTCTTATTCTTCTATACTCTTTCGAAACATTAGCGACCGGCGCCGATCGATGAGGAGAGACGGGCAAGAGAATCGTATTCGCCGCTCCGCCGCGCGCGGCGATGGGCGCAACGTTTTCTTAACTCGTGTTAACCTGTCGACTGGAGCACCGGACTTCATGTAGACCCCGTCATCGTAGACATTCATGACTATTTTCGGTTCTGAATTGCCTGTTGTCGCCATCTACTACCTGGAACCATCGTCATTTGCGGCGCGACGTCGCACGCGACGCCCACCAGCACGGCGAATTACGATTCTCTTGTCACATACCCGATCGATGACAGACTTTGTGGTTGAGCAAAGTGTGCCCTTCTATTCTCCTCTACTCTCTCAAGACGTCTTACAGCTTCCTGCTCTAGGTCCTTGTCGCCCCAAGTGATTACTCAAACCCCGCAGGACTAACATAGAGCTGTTTTTTGGTAGGACTCCCTGCACTGACTCTTACTTTAGCACTTCTCAAATATTCTTCCCAGTAACGACGCAATTAAACACGAGCAAAACTTGGTGAAACTGCTTTAGATCACTTATATAAAAGGATGTACTGGATTGCTCAGCCATGGTAATAACACAGTTTATTGTCCGAGCGAGACTGGATTAGGTGGGTAAAGTTACGGACGCACTTATTTCACCAAACAAGTCATCTACAACAGCTGCGTTTTTTTGGCACTCCTTGATTTAAACAGAATATACAGTGTAGTACGTTGCGGACGGTTGGAGGGTGTCAGGCGGGATGAGTTTGGTTTCAACAACGGAAACCCTTTACCAACTGGTGAAGAATGGGTTTGGCGCGGTGCCAAACTCGTTCTTCACCAGTTGTTAAAGCGAGCAAATGATATGACTGTATCATATCGTTCGTATTACTCGTTTTCTACCACTTTTTGTCGCATGCGCGCTTTAACAAGAAGGCCCGAATGCGCAATGCGCTTTAATAGGAAGGCTCTGACGGGTGACACACTCATACTGCCTGACACGCCCAATCGTCCGTAGCGAACTAGAGTGTATTTTTTGCAGGACTGTTGCACAAGCGTGGTATGGAGGGTTCGTTGATAGTGAATATGCTGCTGCTGATATTCTTCATTTTCATGTATCGCGTAATAGGCCTGGTCGCTCTGGTTCTCAGAGCAAGATTGACCTAAATCTTCTTGAAGTCCTATTGAAAACAAGAATCACACAATCACAATTCTTAATGTAGACGTAGCCATGAGCTTCGTGAATAAATAGTTGTTTTCTATTGTTTAGATATGGGTTCAGGTCTACAGTAGCGACGCATATATCTGAGCGCGGAGAGGGGAGTTCCCGCGAAGCCATGTGTTTGTGAACGCCACGGTGTCTGCATGTCTGTATATGGCGTAATACCACCATCACACCAGCACTTGATCGTGCTTTTGCTTGCTTTTGTGCTTTGCACACAGCTGTAACTTCTATCTTCTATCTTTTCGTGTGGAGTTTAGTGTCCAACTCTGCGTTCACAACTGAGTTCGTGGCAACGCCTCTTTTTGCGCTCCTGGCAACTTCTGTGCACCTCATTCTTGGAGTTGGTTGGGACCAATTAGGCTCAATTTATTGGGATCATGACATTTTCTATTGATCTGGTGGTACGTAAGGAACAGAATCTGGCAAGTCAGGTGGCCGGAAAAAAATTTGGGGACACTTCCCAAATTTAGGGGCATTTTGCACTTATGCTGCTTCGCATCGAAAGTCGACCCATCTAGGGAGCCTTTTCTTGTGTGACTGGTTTTACTATGGCTCGACAAGCTTCTTCCAGCTTTACAAAAGCTCACAGGTCTCACCAGCGTGAGTCTTGTAAACCGGAACTTGTGAAGCAGCGAGAGTGCAAAATGCCCCCCTGCGCCGGGTTTTGTAGCGCGGATAGTTGATAGGTGTGAAGATACGGAGCTAACTTGATAGTCTCCTGTGTGGGCACTACCAGCGCTTTTCTGATGAAAAACCCAAGTGATTGCTTCTGCTGAACAGTGCCTCAGTATTTGCAATCTACAGGGGGTGGCAAAAAAAAAGTCACTTTGCCTCATTGACTTTCGAGCGCGCTATAAATTACTTTATCAAATTCTGATCGGACATTTTTACTACCATATTGAAGAGCATATTAAGTACTATCACGACACTCCGCCACAGCCTTCTGGACGAACGCCATCGAGAGATTCTGGCACGCGACCGCGATGTGGTACCTGAGATCAGCGGGGGTAGTCGATTTCTCCGCCACCGTAGACCACCCTCTTGAAGTCCGCCCGAACTAGGTAATTGAGTGGGTTCAGGTCAGGGGACATACTTCAATATTACATCTTCTTCAGGTACGAAACGCCCTTCCATTCGAAGTAGGCGGGAGTTTTTCCAAAACCCTTTGATTCCATGTGGTGGCACCCAAACCTGTAGCAGCACAAGTCCAAGAAGGTACGGGCGACCACATGTAGGGAGGATATTCTTCTCGAGTTACTTGATGTAACCGCCAGCGCTCACCTTCAGTCGGGGATCTACAAAGAAAATACCGGGTCTCGCCCCCTTTCCAAGGTACCCCGGTCCATACCATCAACTCGCGCCTCGGCGAATACGGTGAAGATGATGTCCTAGACCGTAGCGAAGTTGACGAAGCTGCTCGATGTGGGAGGTCTTGCAGATCAAGAGTACTGACCTCCAGGTAGCTATCTGTGGATGACTTCATTCAAGAAGTTTCGCAGCTGTTTGGAGGCGACGTGAATTCCAAAGGTGTTCTCCAGTCAGGCCGCGACTGGAGATGACTTCATATTTTGGTGTACATGAAGGCGATTGGCGGCAGCCTGCTCCAGCTTATAGAGGAAGATCTTGGGTATCTTCCACCCTGGTATTCATATCCACTTCCCCTGTCTGGGCTGCGAAAACTTCGTTGATATGTGGCTCGGCCGAAATGATTGTTTTTTGGCTCCCCCCTGTATACTGGCGGTGCTATAGGGTGGGTGCGCAGTACAGTGGGTACTGTTAACAAATAAAAGACAGGCAACTAACGTGACGTAACTCTTGAATGACGTATCTTGACTTTGCTGATAGTGTACTGTACAAGATTCCCCTTTAGCGTGAGGTCAAAGACACGTCAAAAAACAAAACCCGACGTTGGCATTCATTTTTAAGGCTGCGTTCATACTTCGGCAGGTTTACCATAGTCCACCAGCTTCTGCCAGCGACCGACCATCAGCGTCTCAAACCTCTAGAAAAGTATGGATGTAGCGTCTACCAGCGATCTAGCGTCTACCAGCGTCCACCAGCGAGCAGGAGTACGGTATTGTGTAGTAGTGTGGTGCTGTTGAACACGCCACAATATCATACGCCTAATCCAGCTGTCTGTTCCTACCCTCATACTCCCTCACACTCTCTATTCGTGGTAGCTGGCGGACGATGGTAGATGCTAGATCAATATCCATATTTTCTTTGTCCCTCTAGACGGCTCTGTCGCTGTGAACGGGGCTGTGTGGACGCTGCCGCGAAGTATGAATGTGACTCAACAGGAAACGTAGCTATGCTATAATGCTGATATGACACGACTTTCCCGCCAACCTAACGCTTGTGTGCCTTCCATACGACAGATCCATCAACTGGGGTAGGGGTTGATTTCTGTGTTGCTGAGTGTGCTAGCACCCTTGGCTCTGTTTACTGTAAACGAACCTCTTTTTCCGAAGTCTGGTTAAAACTTCGGAGGGATAAGAGTTCGATAAAAATTTGGCTGAAGTCATGATGGAGTTTTTGAAGAAGGACGTGCTCGGTTCAGTCTTTTAAAACTATTCCGGACTCGCACTGCCACTTTATTCTACGGAAGTATTCCGACGAAAATCTTTTATTTATGTCATAAATTATGCAGAGGATGTCCAGTAATCAAAACAAACATCTATACTGATTCATAAACAGCGAAAGGAGGCAGAGAAATGATCACTTTTTCGGCTTCTTTTTCTTGTCAACTTTCTGAATATCCTGGTTTGATGCATTATAGAGATCAGTGACAGGTTCTTCTTCTGACTGTGATTTTGGGGGAGTATTCCATTGGAATGGAGCAAGTTTGGATTCTTCGCCTTTCTTCATCGTTTTCGTTGCTTCCCTTTTCTCTTGTGATGCACCTTTTTCAGCTGAGAGTGTTTGAGCAGCGACCTTTTTCGTATCGTTTTTCTTCATCTTCTTTGAACTTCCGACAAATTTCTTCATTGAGCCGGGAGCACCCTTTGCCGATCTTTTCACAGTTTTACTCCCACCACTTTCCCTTTTCGAATCGCTCAAAGTCATGCTCACATAGTATTCATATTGCCTTCGATGAGCATCTCGTAACAATCTTATGAAGATAAGTTGACAAATCAATATTACGAACATGCATATGCTGAGAACCATCAGTTGAAAAGCAGCTTTCTTCCTGAAAAAACTCTGTAAAATCTTTCCGCTTGCTACCTGGGGTGTATGTCCACTTCATCTGAGCATTCACACTCATCACAACGGCGGTTCGGATTGGAGGGGACATTTTGCACCTTCGCTAGTCCCTTTTGTTGCTTCACGTTTGCTGGTACATCTCACTTCAGTCAGACTCGTAAGCTCCTGCCGACTGGTGAAGCCGCGAAACTGTTCAAGTTAGCCACTTTGGTCACAGGACTTTACAGATCTCTACAATGTGGCCCGTACAAGCTTAGATGAGACCCATCTGGTACCCCTCCAAGCCAAACTGCACCCTCATCCAGATACTACTGTTGGTTGATGCTTTTGTTGGCAGTTACAGTCCACTTCTGATGGTAGCAAGGGACGTGACTGCTACATAGTGTGAATATAGCCAGGAAACATCAGATGGAAGAGATGCGGAGGCCTTCGTATGCGTCAGAGGGACACGGGATTACGCAGTTGTCGTCGGGATGCCCCTTCCGTACCTTCGATTTGAACTGCCCCTTCCGGACGGCTGAAGTACCAATGATGATGAGGGGCTAGACTTTCAAAGGGGGAAGAATCGCCATTCGAGATGCAGGTGGTAGAGAAGTCGAGATGTGCCTTCCGTACCTTCGATTTGAACTGCCCCTTCCGGACGGCTGAAGTACCAATGATGATGAGGGGCTAGACTTTCAAAGGGGAAGAATCGCCATTCGAG